CTCACACAGCAAATACTGCTTCAGTTTCCAAACAGCCCTCCACTCTCTCACACACTGACAGGACGCTTGCCAGACGAATACCGATGGATGCTGGTAGGCAGAGGCAGAATTTTCCCTCCTTTTTTTTCCCCTCCAAAAACTAAGCCCAACCACAGAGTTTCATAGCGAAGCACCTGGGTAGTAAAAGGTATAAAACGGGGCAAAACTCCCTTAATAAATGTCCCACCCAGCCAGAAGAATCTTTGAGCTCCCTTGTGGTCGTAAGTCGAGGGCTGCCTGCTGCATCTCTGTGACGGGGATATTTAAGCCGTGGGCCCCTCGCTGCTCTCTCTCTCTCTCTCTCTCTTTTTGAACAGGAAGAGGGCTCCTCGGCCATCAAAATCGTACTCATGAATGAGAAATATCCGAAACTCAGGGGACCCGCTGTACGTTTTCCATTCCTTTAATGTCGGGGGGGGGGTTGACGGGGCTGGGATTTTCGGGGTGGCTTCGGGCACGGATGGGGGTGAACCAGGCGGCCCTCCCTCTCTCGTGGCAGGAGTGCAGGAAGAACGAGTGTTGCCAGGAGTGCAAATTCAAAGAAGGCATCGACTGCCTCTACGGGCTCTGCTGTGAGAAGTGTCAGGTAAGAGCCAAGCAACGCTTCCTTCCTTCCTTCCTTCCTTTCTTCCTTCCTTCCTTCCTTCCTTCCTTCCTTCCTTCCTTCCTTATCCCCTTCCTCCTTCTATTTCTCCTTCCTTCTTTCCTTCTTTGTCTCATTATCTCCTTCCTCTTTCCATTTCTTTCCTTCCTTCCCAAATTCTTCCTCTCCTCCCCTCCTCCCCCTCCCTTTCTCCTCCCTCCCTCCTCTTTTCCTCCCTTCCCTTCTTCCTCTCCTTCCCTCCTCCCCCTCCCTTTCTCCTGCCTTCCTTCATCCCTCCCTTTTTCCTTCTTTTCTTGTTTTCATTATCTCCTTCCTCCTTCCATCTCTCCTTCCTTCCCAAATTCTTCCTCCTTCCCTCCTCCCCCTCCCTTTCTCCTGCCTTCCTCCATCCCTTGTCTTTTCCTTCCTTCTTTTTCTCATTACCTCCTTCCTCCTTCCATCTCTCCTTCCTTCCTTCCCAAATCCTTCCTCTCCTTTCCTTCTCCCCCTCCCTCCCATTCTCCTTCCTTCCATCCTCCCTCCCTCCTCTTTTCCTTCCTTCCTTTTCTCATTATCTCCTTCCTCCTTCCATTTCTCCTTCCTTCCCAAATTCTTCCTCTCCTTTCCTCCTCCCCATCCCCCCTTTCTCTTTACTTCCAACCTCCCTCCCTCCTCTCTTCCTTCCTTCCTTTTTTCATTATCTCTTTCCTCCTTCCATTTTCTTTCCTTGCTTCCTTCCTTCCTTCCTTCCTTCCTTCCTTCCTTCCTTCTTTCCTTCCTTCCTTCCTTCCTTCCCTCCCTCCCAAATTCTTCCTCTCCTTCTCTCCTCCCCCTCCCTTTCTCCCTTTCTTCCTTCATCCCTCCCTCCTCTTTTCCTTCCTTCCTTTTCTCATTATCTCTTTCCTCCTTCCATTTTCTTTCCTTCCTTCCTTCCCCCCCAAATTCTTCCTCCCCTTCTCTCCTCCCCCTCCCTTTCTCCCTTCATCCCTTCATCCCTCCCTCCTCTTTTCCTTCCATCCTTTTGGAAAAGTCAAAGAACAGCAGGACGTTTTCAGCCCCGGGGTGGGGTGTCACTTCTGGTGGAGCTGCCAACTTCTGAGCACCGTCCAAACCGGAATAAGCCTGAATCCTTGGCTCTGCTAGTTTTCCGAAACCGGAACCCAGTGCCGGGAAGCCATTTCGGAGTGCGACCTCCCCGAGTTCTGCAACGGCACTTCCTACGACTGTCCGACGGACGTCTACAAGCAAGACGGGACGCCCTGCGGCCACCACAACCACTGCTTCCGGGGGCTTTGCCTGGATCTCCAGGCCCACTGCAAAGCTCTCTTTGGGCCAGGTAAGGCCCACCTGTCCTTGGGCTCTGGGCAGGTGGAGCAGGGATGAAGAGAATATCTGGAGCTCAGGGTTCAGATGTGGCATCCTTGGTGCTCTCTGAGCTTGGCGGTTTTCCGGCGGACGTTTCATGACCCGACTAGGGAACATCATCAATGCTGGAAGGGAGGGGGGTTTGTGGAGAGGAGGAGGACTATGGGGTCCTGGGTGGCTTCCTTTAATATGCTTCATGACCCAACCAAGTGACATCCTCCGTGCTAGAAGGGAGCGGGGTTTTCGGAGTGGAGGAGGAGGAGGAGGAGGAGGAGGAGGAGGAGGAGGAAGAGGAGGGCGGTGGGATCCTTAGGTGTCCTCTGAACTTGGTGGTTTCCTTGCAGACATTTCATGAGCCAACTAGGGAACAACATCAGGGAGTGGGGTTTTTAGGGAGGAGGAGGAGGGGGGG